GACCAGCCGTTACTGCGAGCGTAGACTGCAATAGCAGTGATTATGAAAAATCGTTGTAAATATATTTTTTTTCAATCACTGGTTCAGTTAAAAACAACAGTACAACCTATTGGCTGGTGAAACATGCAAAACTTTCGAACCACTCCCACTTGGATTTGAGGTCTTGGAGTCCTTAGACTACGGCGTAGTGGTACATGTATGTGGTTCATGTAAGTTACCACGGAAGCTCCGCCACAGGAATTTGCGGATCCAAGTTGAAGAACTTGCCCGTGCTTTCAGAGCTCAACTTGGAGATGAAACTGGTCATGGCCGCTATACTGTCGGCAGCTTTTAGTGTTGCCTTGCCCTGCGTCATATCCGTGTCCACGTATCCAGGGTGCACAGACACGACCACGATGTTGCTGGCGCTCAGCTCAACCGCCAGAGCGCGTGTGATCATATTGAGGGTTGCCTTGGAAGATCCGTACCCGTACAGGGCATCCTTGAACATAGCCGCAGTTTCGCTCGTGATGCTGCCGATACTGCCCACGAAGGAGGATAACTGCGCAACATAGGCAGCACCGTGGGTGTTTGACGCAAGCTGTAGGTTGGGTAAAAGCGAGCGCGTCACGAGGAACGGTCCGATAGTGTTGACCTCGAACTGACGGATGAATGTATCCTTAGTGGTGGACATGAGATGGCCCGGAAGGCCAATGCCGGCGTTATTAATGAGCAGATCGATAGGTTGGCCCTCCAGCTGACGAGCTGCCTCGAGGATGGTAGCTTCGTCGTTCGTGTCCATAGTGACAATCTTAAAGGGGACAAGCGCCTTCAACTGCGAAAGCCAGCAAATGGTGAGCAAATGTTGCATTTACAAACGAGGAGGACTATCGTAACACCTTTTCTGTGTTGCTGCTTGCGCGTGCTGTACCGATGACGTTCCAGCCAGCCCGGGAGTAGTGCTCGGTGAAGGCGAGTCCGATGCCACGCGTGCTGCCGGTGATAAGCACGGTCTTTTTGGGGGAGCTCATGACTAAGAATGGTGCGATGAGAGCTTTTTCGAAAGTGAGGCTTGCTAACAACAAGGATACCTACTTCAAATCAGCTTTTGTTGGCCCGCATGAACTTCATGACTGCAGCAAACGGGACTAGCCAATAGATGAGCTAGCTGCGTCAACCTGAGATGCTAGTACTGATACTAGCCTACACGTAGCTTACCTGTAGGCTGGAGGCTGTAGCAGGTTTAGTGATGACTTCCAAGTTGGCATTGCCAACGTTCATGCTAATCAGTAAACTTACAATTTGTCAGCATCATAGTGGGTAATATGAACGTGGTACAGTACTGCACCCCGTTCTCGCGGGGGTGGACCATATAGGATTTGCAAATAAATCAGATTTTAGCTGACAACCTCTTGTTCTTTTGAAATCAGATAAATCACATCCGGAAGTTTATCAAACAAGGGCGCAAAAACGGGATGCAGTACTGTACAGTGATGATGTTCATGTCGACCACTTCATTTTTTGTTGAAACAAAAGCTAAAATTCGAAAACAATATCTTGAATAAACTAACTGTAAAATAAGCAATATTTTCGAAAGAGAGTGAGTATTTTGCCAGACTGGGAGCATCCCACTCATAGCAAATCTTGTGTTATCTTCGGATTTGCTAGGATTTGCTGATATCTTCCATATCCGAACTCGGTACAGCGTATACTCTGCGTATACCCCTCCCACACAAAAAATCCTCCCTTTCCAGCAATATCGTGGCGCCAACGGACTTAAATGCCGCCGCGCCCACGCAGCGCTTCAAAGCGCCCCCTGCTGGCAGACGCCAGCGACGATACCAGTGACGGCGCCGCATCCGGCGGCTCTTTGAGTGAGTGGGAGCCGTCACTAAGCCCACCTCGTGTGGAAACGACGGGGACGAGCAGCGCTAGCGAGGAAGCCGGACCAGTCTGTGTCATCGCTCCGCCTCCGGGGGAGACGCAGCTCAGGTCGTGGGAAGAATTCGAGGCATACTTCGCGCAGTACCAAGCTCGGTCGTTCCAGGTACAGTTGAGAAGCTTTTTTTTAATTATATTCAGTGTTATCTAAGCTAATTGGTTGGCATATTATCGGTACAATATTAGATCTACCGTACCAGAACGAACACCTCAGTTCCAGTACGGAATGCTCGGATAGATGCCCAGGGATCCAAGGCGTGTAAGATTCCCGACGAGTGGGACCAGTACGCAAAAACATACGTGTGTACGCATTACGGCAAATTCCGATCGCAAGCCACAAGTAAGAGGCCTCGTCAGGAGAGTCGAGCTTCTGGATGCTCTGCCCAGGTATGTTGCTGCTGCAAATTAGAATGTCGGGTGTGCTGTGCAAGATACATGATCAATTAGGCGAAGCCAGATTCAATCGGGCATGGTCTGGTTCATTCGGGCATGGTCTGGTTCAATCTGGCATGGATGGTATGATTGGGTACTGACTGGTTTGATCGGACAAATTTGCTAATATCTGTTGGCAATATTTCGTTTTTTCAGATCAATGTGTGCGTTCAAGAGATCAACAAAGCTACCCATACATTTGCTCTAATGATTACGAAGTGCCACCTTGAGCACAACCACACATTGAACGAGTACGCTTTCAAAAGCCACTCGTCCAACCGTGTGACCCTCGATGAGAGTGCTTTAGAGACAGTGGACGAGCTCCGCAAGGCTGGCGCGAAAAAGACAAGCATTCTCAAGTTTATCAAGGACAATTCCGATAGCAATCCGAAGCCGCAGGATGTTCATAATTTGGTTCGCAAATTGAAGGCTCGCGAGCAAGGATTGACCCCAACCTCTAGTTCAAAGCGGTTAAAGAAGTGGATGTCCGAATTTGGTGATGTTCCTGGCAGCGTGGGGCGCATCTTCGTGGACGATGTGGGAGAAAAGGTATGATATACGACGTTTATGTTTCAAATTTAATTTCGTTATTGCCTATCTAACCGTTTCATTATGTTAGAAATTGGCAACCTGTATTACGCTTCAAACCAAACACATGCGATCGATCTTCTCTCAATTTCCGGAGGTACTTCTAATTGACGCAACGCATGGAACCAATCGATCCACGTACAAGGTCTTCTCTTTCATGGCACACGACACTTTTGGAAAAGGCCAGTTTGTGCAGCATGCCCTACTCCACAACGAGCAGTGGAGAACATTGTTGACTGCACTGGAAGAATTTAAGACGAATAACCCGGCTTAAACGCGTCTACAGTGCGTGCTCATCGACAAGGACTTCACGGAGCTTTCTGTTTTGAAGACAGCATTCCCCGGCGTGACTATTCTACTCTGCCAGTTTCACGTATTAAAGTACTTGAGGAAGGAAATTTCATCATCGGATTACGGCTGCAACACGTGGGAGAGGGATCAGCTGCGAGGGCTCATGGACCTCCTGGTATACGCGAAGACGGAGAAGGAATACATGGGGCATTTTCGGTACATGCTGCATGTGTGCGAGGTTGGTCATTCAAGGTCGGAGTCTTCAGATTCAATCGGGCAGGACAGATCGACCCCCACTTCGGTCGGGGTGAATCTGGCTCCAGTCGGGCAGAATCTGGCTCCAAACTTTCGTTGAACCCGCGGATGTGGCTGCTACGACAAATGAACCCACCACCCACCCGTTTGCTGCCTATTTCATCAAAAACTGGGATAATTGTCGTAAGTTATGGTGTGCACACAAGCGGCAAAACACCGTCACTCTCGGCAATAACACCAATAATAGATTGGAGACATCCTGGAAGCAGCTGAAAGAGTGGGTAAATTCGTTCATGGCTGTGGACGAATGCATTGCGTCTATCATGTACTATCAAACGCTTCAAGAACGACGTTTCATGGATGAAGTCTACAAGAAGGTTAACATTCAGCATGCTGGATACGACCAAGAAATGACTCTCGTGGCTAACCTTGTCAGCGAACACGCGTGCGAGCTGATACAAGACCAATACGTATACGCACTTGGCCGTGCATCATACAATTTTTCGGAACGGAGCCCGGGCGTCTATATTGTGAAGAGCACAAGCACCGAGGAAGATGCCCTTGACGAAAGTGAGACCGAGTATACTATTTCTGAGGCAAACTGGACTTGTTCGTGCCTCTTTATGAGCACGCGTTTGCTGCCGTGTCGTCATGTTTTCTTTCTGAGAAGAGCACTCGGCAAAGAAACTGTTATCCCGACACAACTTCTCAATCGTCGGTGAATATTGTCTTCTGTTAGGTCCTCGATAGAGTTCGAGAGCTCAAGTGACAACTGTACGTCTATGGAATCTTTCGCTTTTCGTCGGGTTGTGGCGACGGATGATCGACCTTGGGACTCAAACCGCAAGTATCGTGAGGCGCTGCCTATCGCTAGTGAAATTTGTGGTTCGATGTCTGGATTGGGAATGGCACAATACCGAGAAGCGATGGAGTATCTGAAGGATGTTGCTCGTCGGTTCAAGCTTTGTGACTTCGGCACCTTATTCAGTCAAAACCAAAACGATCAGCTATCAGACTCTCCTCCTTCTACCCATCCAGCTGAAGCGAGTTCAGCCATTGAGAACAGCCAAGTCGAGGAGTCTGACATCCAGTCTGGCGAGTCTGGCATCCAGTCTGGCGAGTCTGGCATCCAGTCTGGCGAGTCTGGCACTCAGTCTGGCGAGTCTGGCACTCAGTCTGGCGAGTCTGGCACTCAGTCTGGCAAACATCTTGAATCGAAAACCCGAGAGTTGACATCAACTCTCCCAGAAGTAGGGAATGAAGAATTTCACGTAGCGAGCCCTCCTAGATCCCGCGGGCGCCCAAAGCAAACAGCAAAGTCGAAGAAAGCTGCTCGTAGAAAGAATGCCACGATCGTCCAGGAGGACTCAGACTTGTACGCGGCGAATTTGAGCCTGGCTACAGTGCGAGATGCTGTTGAAGGCGTGCCTACATACGATACATCTGCCGCTACCCTATCGCGATTCAAGCTGTATGATTTCAGTAAAACTCCCAGGGCTCCTGTAGCCCACGAGAGAGCGAGCTTACCACCGGCGAAGAAAATTTATCCTGTGGAATCCATACCCGTGTATTTCGCAAGGACTTCATTGAGAAGTGCAGCGCCAAAGTCTCAGCCCTGCAGAATTCATCAGGTGTAAATCTAGGCGAACAAGAAATTGCGGTGGAAGTAATCGGTGTTGGAGCATACACTACCGAGACGTTGGGTGTAATGAAAAAGTGGCACAGGGCGATGAAAAGCATACAACACGTAGAAAAAGCTATAAACTGGATCGAGACTATTGATTTCACTCTACAGATGCCCGAGCATTTCCAAGTTGATCCAGACCCAGATATACTTGCTAAGCTGAAGGCCATCCCACTTCTGTCCGTGCAGGTACAGTTAACGTACATTTATTGATACAATGGGTTCACTAGCGTTGATAACATCTTCTTGAATGTAGGCGGAAGCGCTGGAGCTCGTTGGCAAGTCGCCCTTGGGTGATTGTACCGTTAACACTTTAGTGCTGAAGCTGTTTGCAGAAAGAGTAGACACGATTGGAGTCGACACGTCCATCGCGGGGAACGTTATGAATGGCTATTTATCGATCTATACGATGAAGGGCGTGTTTGTAGGTGTTACGGGTGAGAAGATTTTGATTCCGATCATCTGCGGCAAGAATCACTGGTGCTCTGTCATAATTGACCTGACATGTAAAGACGTATTAGTCTATGACCCGATGAATATCAGCTACGGAGTGAAGGTTCGCCCCCTTGCTGACAAATGATGCTACCAGACTTCGCCCCAAGAAAGTACCGAGTCCGAATGTACGAAAGTGATCTTGGAGTGCAGGTCGATAGCTACAATTGTGGCATGTACATGCTGTTGGCATTCGAGATATTTGCCGGTGCTACTACTATGCGTGCGCTAAGTAGAAAGGAGTTGCAGTATCTACGCTATCGGTATCTCTGCATGTGCATTTAGCTGAACAAGTTTTCAATGATTTGTTTGTGTGTGTTGATGGCATGACTACCTCCGGGTTATTCACCCTGCACTTTTTCTTGAGAG